GCGCCCGCAGCTCGCGACGCTTCGCTAGCGCGATTGAAGATCGGGGTTGCTCGCTCCCTTCGCTGCGTTATGGATGCGGTGATGCACGCCGAGGGCCCTCCGTCGGGCTCCCCCTTCCGCCGCGCTCGACCTCGCTTTCCTGCTCGAGAGAGTCTCAAGCCGCTGCAGAAGGAGTTGGTCTTACTCGACCTTGGCCTAGAGCTCGCGGAGCTGTTCTAGGTCTGGGCGCTGAGGTCGCGCAAGAGCGACGTTCTCATCTCGTGTGGCCGGCAGGACGGCGCGTGGAGGTGTAGCGACGCCCGCGCCGGGGCGAAGCGGGGAACGGCTACCTGCCCCCTCGTCCTCTTCGCCTGCTCTCGGCATCCCGACCCCGACATGAAAACATTCGCGAGTGGGGTCGTGGGTGCCTTCGTCGTCGTGAGTCGAGTAGCCGGCGATGTCGCTTGCGACCAAGAACTGGCGCAAAGCCCTGTGGTTGTGGAGTCCGGAAAAAGTCCACCGGGCCATGCCTCGTCCCTCGTCCGAGAAGTCGAGGGGTGCTCAGTCGAGAGCGAGCTACCGGCGGCGTTCAGAGGGGCTCGTGAGCGACAGCAGTAAGCGTAGGCGTATGAGGCGGCGGCATTTCTCAACCCAAAAGGGGATGGGGACGGTGCCGTCTCCAGACTCTGCCCCGCCGGAATCGGCTCTTCAGGGAGTGGTGGAGCGGAGCTTGACGATTGGGCATCGCCGCGCGCCACAGGCAAGTTTCCTTTGTCCAAGCTCAGGCTAGACAGGTCCCTGACCAGGGGACCCTGTGCCAACAAATTGGTCGTGGGATATCGGCGGGGGTGGCGTGTTGCCCGGATTCGCGTGGCGTCGGGTGGCCTTTGTTCGTGCCGTGCTTGGCGAGTGCGGCGAGAACGGCCGCCCGGACGCCGCCCGCGCCTGGGCTGTCGGGGCGTAACTTCATCGTTGGTTGGTGGGGCTCGAGGAGGGAGGAGCACCAAGTCGTACTCATGTCCTAGAGACATGAACTCTAGGCTCCCGAACCAAACCACGGTGCCGAGATGCAATGGTCGTGACGTGGTCCGCCATCCGGAACTTCTTTGGGATGACGAAACCGACCTTGCGCAATACCCTACCGGCGCGCCAGCTAACTGTCGGTGTTTTGGACCAGGGGGTCCTCAACCAACTAGTGAATTTGTTCTGCGTGCTCCCAATCCTGGGTGGTGATGCAAAGAGACACAAGGTTTATACTGGTTCAGGCAATCGAGGCCCTACGTCCAGTCTGAGAGATCGATCTTGTATTCCTTGCACCGAGGTGCTCGTAGTAGGGGGTTACAAGCTAAAGGAGAGAAGGAACTGGTCCTAAGTCTCGGTGGGGTGTCGTGCGGTCCGCTTGAGACGTTGCTCTCAGGCGGCCGGAGTGTGCGTGCGTCTTCCTCCTCCCTAAAACAACCCAGGTCCTCTCCTTTTATAGCATGAAGGGAGGACTTGGGCGGTACATGAGCTGATTATACGGCGTCGTGTGAACAGAGGCAGCGTGTCCGGGCCCTGTAGCCTGTTCCTGTGGCGGCATGGCCGTCGGAGTGGTCCATCCTTGGAGTACTGGGGCGGCGTGGTCATCCCATCAGGTCCTGTGCGTCGTGGGAGCCCCGGGAATGCCTCGGAGTGGGTGCGGCGGCGAACGTGCAAGCCACTGTGGACGGACTGTGCACGATGCCGAGGCTTGGTCGATGCCGAGGCTAGCACTGCGATGGGGGGTCTCGGCAGGCACGAACCCCAAGATCACCGAGGCCTCGGTGTACAGTGCCGAGGCCTTGAGCGGGCGACCGATCATGGATACAGCGTTTGGACACAGGGGTCGGTAATCCCCGTCGTACCCTTTCCTAGCCGGTATGGTGCTGATCGTGGACATAGTGGTAGGGCACAGTGGTCGGTAATCTCCGTCGCGTCCTTTCCCAACCGGTATGGTGCTGATCGTGGACACAGTAGTAGGGCACAGTGGTCTGTCCCGGCCGGTATGGCGCTGATGCGACCTCGGGTCGCGTCGGCCATCCTGTGGCGTTGAGCCACCGTCCGGTTGAGATTGCGGGAGTGGTTGAAGCATTAATGAGACATGACGAGTTGTTGGGAGGGTCGGCCGAGGCGGGGGGCGACGGACCGTGGACGAGCCGGCCTCGCGCGATACGGAGAATGAGGCCTCGCGCGATACGGAGAGTGAGGCCTCTGCCGATGCCTTCCCTGGATAGCCTCGGGCGAGATGGAGACGGCGTCCTCTGCCGAGGCTCGGCGCCCCCTGCCGAGGCCTATCCTGGGGAGCCTCGCGCGAGGCGGAGTTCGTTCCGAGACCTCCTGCTCGAGGCCCGAGGCGAGGTGGAGGAGGGCTCGGTCGTGGCAGGTGAGGGGCCCACGGCTTACCTTCTAGCTTTGTTTTGATGTTTGCTTGGGGTACCCCGTTCTAAGGTACCCGACACTAGGCAAGTCACAGACTTATTATCTCGAGCACATACTTGTGTATGGGCGCTTGGAAGACTTGTTGCTCTCTTGTCATGGTCCGGCTCTTTCCGGACCGACTGTCAAGGTTTTGTTTTTGGTGGAGGAGGTCCTTGCACCGCACTGAGTCCGAGACTCAAGGGCGGGGGCTTGGAGTCCCAGTTTGGACGGGGACCTGGACACCCGGGACAGGAGAGTGATGGGTTGGTCCTGCTTGTGCCTGGGGTATAAGCGGGGCGTGTGTTTTCAGGGTACCCAGCTGGGGGCATTGATTCGCGAATCGTCGGGCGATCCGGTACGGCTTGTCTACGGTTTAGCATCGTAGTAAGAACTGAAAGATGAAAGATGGAATGAAAAAGGAAGTATGATTGCTTACCACCTGTTTGAAAGTAGTACATGTGCTTACATAGAATGGTTAGTTAATGAACCAATGCGGCTATTAATAACAATCCAATATAAGGACACACGCTTAGTAATGCTTCCTGCAAAGGCAATAGATCTACAAGCCAGATAGCCTTGCTATCCTTGGAGTCTTTTCTTTCCTCCTATCGGGTAAGTCTTGCTGAGTACAATTGAGTACTCAGGGTTTTATCCCCCCTGTTGCAGGTGACAGGTGGATGCTCGAGCTGACTCTTATGTGTGGATTCCTTCTGGTGGGCTCAGAGAGGATTTCCTTTACGCTGCGATCGTAGTTTTTACTTATAACTCTCACCAAATGTTTTTATAAATAGACGTTCTATAGTATGTTGTCATAGCTTATTTATCCATGCTTCATCATGTCATGAATAGATATTTATTTCCGCTGTAATTCTGATCACATGTTTATATTCCGTTATTCAATTAAATTGTTCATACTCTGATAATATGATTACATTCTGCTATTGTAATAATAAATATTATACTTTGATATTGTATTAAAAGTGATGTAAGAAATGGTTAAGAATGATGTAAGCTTCATTCTCTCATTTGTGATCCTGGTGGCAAAAATGTGGATTTTCGGGTTCTCCCCTGGGGTGTGCCCGACGGAACCGAGTAATTTAGTGTTCTCCCGCGAGTGCTTAGTGTCTAATGGAAGACAAGCACTCCTGTGAGGCATTAGATTAGGCGGTTCTGCCACACATAAGTTTGCCACCACTCATCTATATGACAAAACAGAAGTTAGTGATGCTGAAATGAACTGGAAAAGTAAAAAAAACAATCTAGAAGTAGTGAAGTTACTAGCAAGTATGCCCGAGCAATCATTTATAGCAGTTGAACGCCCAAAATCACCTTCTCCATTCCTAAAAATCTTCATTTCTTTCGTCAAAGCACTTCTAAGGGCAATATGTTTGCCAGCATATCTCTCTATGACATCAAGAACTCCAGAAGTAGTGAAGTTGTACTTCTCTCTTAGTTCAATATTGTACTAGTTATTAGGATTGAACCAAAAGCCAGAAGCATGGAGATTCTTATCAAAGTGCTTATCCCACCGTGCATCTATGTATTCCAAGAAAGGCTTTGCTAACTCTTTTTTCGCTGAAATCTCTTCACAATTTCGTCTCTTGTAGCATGGAATGCTGCAAATAGATAGCCCATTGCAGGTCTCTCATCGCTGTCCACTATTCTCAGCACGTGAACTAGTGGTTTTGATAATTGACAAACAATAACATAATTTTTCTAGAACTTTTGATCTAGCACAACTTTAGTGAACTTTTTGGCTTGTGGTTCCTTATAATATGTATAGGTTGTCCACTCATTGGAGATAACCATTGCATGCAGATCAGCCTTGTGCTTATATATGCTTTGCAAAGCAATAAAATTAGTAGCAAAATGAGTTTGGGCTGGGCGGAGAATCTCATGACCTTTAGTGAACTTCCTCATTAGATACAATGTGAAGCAATGGTTATAGATATATTTTGTAATTCCTGATGCATGAGCTATAGTAGTCTTCACTATATCCTCCTTACCAAAGTTAGACAATATCAAATTCACACAATGGGCAGCACAAGGGGACCAATAAATGGATGGGAACTCATCTTCTAACCTTCTACCAGCAGCAATCATGTTTGAGGCTTTATCAGTGATAAAATGAACCACATGTTCAAGCCCAACAAAATTTAATACATCTTTGCATAATGTAAACAAGAAATATGCAGTTTTGGAGCTATCAGTGGCATCAACTGACTTGAGAAAAACAGTACCTTTGGGACATGAGAGACCAAGAAGTTAATGAGGGTCCTTCTCTTTATGTCACCCACCCATCAATATAATAGTGCAACCAGTTTCCCTCCAAGTTCTGCGGAAACCATCAACAAAATTTCTAGTTTCTGCAACACATTTTGCAAGCAATGGACCACGCAGCTGATTAAAGTTTGGCCCCTTGTATCCAGAACCATATGCACACATAGCATCAATCGTCGGCTGGTAAAAAATGGAATTACTTGCATTAAATGGAATAAATGCATCAAGAAACCATCTTGTCATGCACAAATCTATCTTCTCCTTGACTGCTTCTCCTTGAAGAACACCGATCCCTTGGGCCGCTTCTAGGCTTGAAGTACTTGCCAACGCTTGAGAAGGGAAGTGGCGGGTCTTTTTCCTTTGTTTGTCAGAGTGCAAAGAAGAAAGACGTTGGAAGGGGCTACATGTGCATTAGCATCAGAGACTTCAACATCATCTTGTTCTCCGGGTTCTGGCCCATATGCATTCTCTTCCTCATAGTCCTGTTGTGCCTTCTTTTTCTTCTCATTCCAATCTTCAATGCTTTGAAACATTGCATGTTCAACCTCAGAATCAATCTTTTTACATGCTGCCACATTACCTGGGTATTTGGCTAAATGCTCCTTAAAATGATGGATCCCTCCTCCTGCAAATACATCATTACAGAACATGCATTTGATCTTCTTTTTTCCTCCTTCAGTGAACTGTGTACAATATCCCCATGCTGGATCATATTTCTTTCTTGTCTTTACTTCTACGGCTGCCTCTTGAGTAGGTGTGGAATTTCGGTTACTGTAAGTGTCAACCGAAGTTGGAGTCTCTGAAGAATCCACTGTGTGTAAAAGAAAATACATATCAGTGCATGTATAACCTGATGTTTCTATCACATTAATTAATAATCAGAGCCATGTTTCAGGAAGCTGAATATAGTCTTAACAATTTAACCGTTTAACAAATCCTACTAGAGCCATATAGCCATATATAGTCACAATAATCTTACTGAATATATCAATGCATTGACAGATAGCAATTATCCTAATATTGACACTTTGACAGATAGCAGCCAAAGAACTCGATTTTGGACTCAATTTGACAGATACTCAGATCCACGGTTGCCTAATATCTTACCTAGAAACTAGAAAGCACTTGATTCGGTCAGTACTCAGGCATAATATGCATATAGAACATAAGCTCACCATTTGCCATGTCATGGAACCGTGGATGGAGCTTGAAGATGAAGCACAGCAGCAGCCTTCACCTACAGCCGTGGGGATCTGGTTTCTGCCTTTCTAGACTCTGGAATTGGACTATCGGAGAGGCTTGGGGCAGAGAAGCAGGCAGCACCGCAGCAGTCGCCCCGCGCGCCGCCGGCCTGAGTTCGCAGATCAGCTGCGCCCGCCCCCGCCGGCCGCCGCCGCCTCAGCCGCTTGCACGTTGCCCGCTGACCGCCGGCCGCCGCAGCCGCCTGCACGCGACGCCGGCCGAGCAGAGCCGCCGCTGCCAGTGCCCGCCTACCCGGAGCAGAGCCGCCGTCGCCGCACACGCGAGCAAGAAGAGCCGCGAAAAGGAAAAAAATTTCCCTCACTTCAGCCGTTCAGCCAGCAAACAAAACAACACTAAATGACCCAATTTGACCAAATTCCAATACTGCCCCTAAGTAGATAAGGTCATCCTCAGTTCAATGAGGGGTAAGTTTGGAAAAAATAAAAAAACTTACCGGTTCGCATGAAACCGGCCGGTTCACCGGTCAATAAAAACCGGCCGGTTCAACCGGTTTATAGCGGTTCAATTACACAGACGGTATGTTAGCCGAACCGGACCGGTCTAGGCTCAGGTTCGATCTTTTACCGGTCCGACCGCCGGTCAGGTCCGGTCCTAATAACATGGCCCACTAGTACTAAGCTGCAACATTTGTTCCAAACACTACTGGCTCTGGGTCACGGACTTCCACACTCCTTAGATAATGGATAGCCGAAACAGATGACGATTCGCCAATCACCAATGCACTCATGGGCTGCACATTATGAGACCACAGAGCCGGCGCAACAACTCGAGCGATACCAAGATCAGATCAGGCGTAGCAACCTAAGATATTCTTCTCCAGTTCCTATCTTGCAAACGCGATCAGAACAGTTGAGCCGCAGCATTCGGGGAGAACGGATTGTAATGTTCCGAGGTGACGTGATGTCCATCCAAAAGACGACCGATGACTTCAGCAGTTCAATCGCATGGATATTATCTTATATATGATCTATTCGAAAAACAAACTGTATTTAATACATCAACCGAGAATGCCTACAAGAGGTGTTAGACTCTGCTTAAGACCTCACGGGCCAAGGCAAAAAAACGTTCTACATCTCACATTGCAACCTGAACACTACTATCAACTCACCAAGGAACTAGCATTTCCAACTCCACGAACGTGAAACAAACAAAGAAAAAGCCAATGGATTGTACAAGCTATTTGAAGCAGGATACCATGTTTATAATAACTTCTGCAACACTTTGGGCTAACATGGAAACACGAAGATCTCTTACTTCAAGAAGGTCGACGATATGAAAAGGAGCACATAAGTAACACACGCGGTGCTCACTTCCAAGTTTCTTGGACCGGGGAGTATAGGAGGAATTACAGATACCATCAAGAAGGTGCCAAGGAACCAGGAAGCAAAGAAAGAACCAAACCTGAAAGATCACATAAATTTCAGTGTCAGAAACCACCTAAAGCAGAAAACAATATTAAAAAAATCAACTACAGTTTTCTTTTAAAACAATCACCTAAAGCAATGTACACAAAGGTTAATATTCACAAATTAAGATGCCAAAGACTGCTTACTTAAAAAAAAATACTACGGCAAGCACTGAGAATAATGTATGTTAATCTCAGCAATTGCAGTTACTGTGAATTGACAGGAAATGTTGGTGGGCCCACTTAGAAGATGCTATTCAACCAAAACCGTTATACTCTGCTTATTATTACCATGAACCCAAAAGATTATAATAAGCTCAAAATGATCCCAAACCAAACTAATCAAATTCTAAAAATGCCAGCTATTGCAGTGTTCAATCACAAATATCTACCCTCTGGACCAATCTGGTGTGTCTGCCTCAGAACACACGGCCTACATCCACAAGCATTTGCACACAACTTTTGTATGCTTATGCATCAGAAAACTGACTTACTAATTCAATTATGGACTGGCATTATTGGCATCAACAAGTTGACAGGCCTCCACACAACTCCTAAGCAACTAGGCATGAGGTTAATCTATCAGTGAACACCAAGGAACAGTGCTAGAAATGGCTTCCAACCAAGCCTGTGCTAGTGGACAGGTGCTGCATTACCATAATTTGGACCAAACTCTAGTGTTTTGGGTCTAAACCTACAAATATTTACCAAAGATAAACTTGGCTGGACCCATGCTGCAGCACACTCAGCATTGGCCCTCTCTCCGCCCCTGTGACACCATAAGTTATACCAGCAAAGAGATTGTTTGGAAGCATGCTGATAAGAACAGGTCCTCTTGAATATTCTGGTTAAGAAAACTTTCATAAAAGAATATGATTACACGGAAAAGTTGTCAAGTCTGTGGTTTGCTCCTAGCATGGAAAAATATAGTACTGTATTAGGAAAAAATCTATTTCCCAATCCATGGAGTGAAAATTTAGGATTTGCAACTACTGTCGCTGTAATTTACGAGTAAAATGCACCATGAGTCCTTAAACTTTTCATGGATTCTCACTTGGGTCCTCGAACTAAACAAGTGACCATATGGGTCATCAATCTACTGTGGATTCTTACCTAGGTCCTCCAACTAAAAAGGTGACCATTTAGGTCCTTCAACTAATGTCGTGCCTCAGTAGAGGTCCAAATCCCATCCCATCACCTCTATATGCCTACGTGGATGTGCCAGCATGGATGAGGACAGGTGAAACTTGCAAAAAAAAAAAAAAACCCTCCCTCCCCCATCTCCTCCACGTCCACTCCCTCCTCTGTCTCCTGTTGGTCCCACACCTGCCTCGCGGCTGTGCTTGCGTGACTCGCCTACACCGCCCGCCGGCCTTACAGCTACGTCTGCACTCTGGAGGCACACTCAGTGGCCATGGAACATACAAAGAGAGGTGAACTGCAAGAGAGATGGAGATTGTAAGGGGAGAGATGGAGAGGGAGGGTTTTTTGCAGCTTTAATCGGCATGACCACGTAGGCAGCTAACGGTGGCTTGGACCTTTAGCGAGCGCTACAGTAGATTTATGACCCAGATGATCACTTTTTTAGTTCAAGGACCCAAGTGAGAATTAGCAGTACATTGAGGACCCAGATAGTCACTTTTTTGGTTCGAGCACCCAACTGAGAATCCATGAAAAGTTAAGGACCTAGGGTGCATTTTCTACTACATTCAGTAGCCTCGTAACTTCTATCACACAGCTAAAATCTTAACTTGTAAATATCATAACAACCATATATCTGCAGGATAACCTACAATGCTAAAATATATATGTTTACAATAATCTTTATTTCCAAACTAAAGTGCTAAGTTGTTAAGTCCAAGCTCTACCATTGACCACTGCAATACAGTCACAGGAACATAACTACATCTCCCAGCATATTTTGAAATAACGGACCTATCAGTGGAAGAAGTTCATGACTACCAGATAAGGATTAGATAAGGAGATCACCTATTTTGCATTTGCTTGCTTGCAGGATATGAGAATGCAAAGGTTCTTTTATGTACCATACATATGCAAAGGTTCTTTTATGTACCACATATCTGGCTTGTACAGCCTGAAGACAGTGGCGGACAAACCATTGTCACCACAACAGATATACTTAGCACCGCTGCCAGGAGCTAGAAAATATTCTTCTGGTGGGATGTCCTACTGTGCTAGAATTGTAGGTTGTCAGGCTCAAGTACCACGATAAGATTTATTGATGAAAAAAATACCTTTCTCAATGGGAAGAAAATGCTACAGACTAAAGACGGTGGCGCCATATCTAATATACAGAGTAAATGAATCCAAAACAAATGCAATCATACTAAGAGCAAATCATAGGCCAGTGCAGATGTATACTCAATAAACTAAAATCCTACAATAAGAAGAAAGCATACCCATAAAAGAATGCTCGCCATCCACTTTTGACCCTCTGATAAATGAAATAGATATTTGCTGCACAAGAGATGGCCACCTGGAGGGTTGGCCCTTCTTCAGTAGGGAAAGCAAGGGTAAGCACTCCAAGCAAGACAAAAGCAATAGCTGTCTGCCAAATGACTTTGCTATGTGGTGTTTGAAATCTGCCTTGAATAGCCTTCACTGCACGTGACTGACTAAGTTCCCTAAATTTTTTCTTGAGATTCATTTTTGGTTTTTTCCTATCAAAGAAACTCTGCATGATAATCCTGTCATGGGCAGACTCAATTGCATCAACACTTAGCTTGTGGCCTGCATACTTGCTTATCAGATAGTTCCTAGCAGCTCGAATTTCTTCTTCCGATGCTTCCCTGCTGATTCCGAGACGCTGATATGGATCCTTTACATGGATTCTGGGAAAGATAGCTGAAATAAAATCAAGCAGTCAAAAAGGATGCTCAAGGATTATTATACAGAAGAACTGTTACAAACAACAAAATCAAAAGGTCAATCACAGGTACATGTAATCTATAAAACAAGGTTGGGACAGAAACAGGTGATACTGATTACCGAAATTACTCGTTCCTTACATACATGAATGTCAAATGTGGTGCACTTGGCATTGAAAACATTCAATGTTTATGTAAGATCAATTATTCTGGAGAACAAGTTACTACTTTGTTCCTTAGAAAACCATACCTCAGGTTTACTGAAATTCAATATGAAAAAAGTCCCACACAATCTCAAGTATATATAAACTAATTATGTAAGATTCTCTTGTCATAGACATGGGTAGCAAATACTCACGAGTTGAAGAATCAGCCATATCCCCAAACGATGCAGTTGCCAGTGGTGTGATTCTGGCATTTCTTGGTGCATAACAGAAAGAAGTACTGTACTTCGGGTATCTGCATTGCAGGATTTGGATGAGAAATTGTATTTCTCAATCACAGCAGGAACTAGATGAAAGCTTTGAGGCTGAGTCGCAAGAAGTGTAAGAAACCATACCTATCCACATTGATGAAGATTTTGTTCTTTTCCTTGCATCCCCTGTTGAAACACAACGAAGAAACAAGCCCCAAGGGTGCACTGGATACCCTTGAAGTAACTGGACATCGTAAGGTTCTTGAGGGATCAGTTGCTAGACCATGACCCAACATCTCTAGCAATATCTGAATATTTTAGACTCAAGTTGCGCTCCCTACGAAGCAAAACAACACTATATCAAGAACAAGTAAACAAGAAAGGAAAATGGACAACACCACTTGGAAAAAAATGCATATCTATGGCGTATTTCTCTGCGGTCAAATGTCCATGCCTTAGAGATCATCCATTAAACAAATGCACCTCCGTTGTCTTCAATCCAAAGGAGATTGGGGGACTTAAAATGACCACAGACCTTTTTTTTTTGTGAGAATATGCACCTTTGTATTTATAAGAAGGATAAAGTTCCAAATCGGAATACAATGCGGGCCATGAAGGGCACAGTTACAACCATGACTAAGAAACAAGTGCTAGCAGCAAAACCTTCACACTACCACTAGACCACTCCTGAATGTATAGCTACTACCCAATACGATATCTAGACCATTTCACTCAATGCAACAAACAAACCATTGATTCAAAGTAATTCGAAATGAACAGGGGAATAGGGTTCAGTTGAACCCCATTTTTTTCTTATCTGGAACTTAAACCGGACCCGCACCCAAAGCCTTATGCCACCAACTGAGATGGACCTAGCGTGTGCTCAAGAGGTTAATCGAGCCCAACAGAACCGGATGGATTGACTACCATATCAGTACTCCACCAAACAACAAACAAACCCCGAGGAACCGATGGAGAGAAACAAATTGCTCGTAGCAACGAATAATCTCGCCGGAGAAAACGAAACTCTGAGAAAAAATCCATCGAGGTAAGTTAGGGTTTCCTACCACCGAACGAAACCGGTCTCTGAGTGCGGACGGGTTCTCTTCCGCTCCAAGCCGGGAGAGGAGGTGGACGGCGACGATGGCGATGGGCGGAGTCCCTCCGGGGCGGCTCAGCGGATTGCGTGCAGGGTCGTTCGCGGAGATGAGGAAGGAGCAGCTGTTGGCGGGGACAGGCCGGCGCATCCTCGCGCACACTCGTTGGAAAAAAAAAGGCCCAATTTGAGACCCATTCCGCAGTTGGACAAGCCCACGTAAAACTGAATTGCAGCATTTTCAGCGGATGACAAGGACGGGATTGCACGACGACGCGGCCGTCCGTTTCCTGTCCCTCTCGCTGCAGGCAGGCCCGGTAGGCCCACGTCAGCGTCATGGCCCGCCTCACCACGACTCGTTTATCCACTTGGGCAGCCGCGCCACTTGACACGAGCGTGACGGCTACACGTACCTCCCGCGCCTCCTTGGCATCCCCACCCTCCGCCCGCGCCCGCGCGCGCGGTTCTCCGCCGTCCGTTTCGTGGCTCCGGAGATCCGGCCTCATCCTCCCCGCCCGCCCGCCCGCCCTCGTCGTCTCCTCCTCCCCCCACTCCCGCCTCGTCCGCTTTCTTTAATCAATCCCCCGCGCCCCACAACCCCAAGCAACCCCCACTAATCGTCGTCCCCTTCCCTTTCCTTTCCTGGCGGTGGCAACAATGGAAGGTGGCGGCGATCTCACCGCGCCGGGTTGCTGCACCGGCGGTTCTTGCGGCGCCGTGCGGGTTTCTCGGTAGCCTGTGAGTTCGATTTGACCTCCCCGACCTGCCGTCGTGCTGGTTCCTGGTTCTGTTCTCTGTGTTCTTGGCGCTGGTCTGGGCTCTGGGGCGATCAGGACACACCTCGGCTCTGCTTGTCGAGGTACCCGACGATCTTCTCCGGAAAAGGTAGGTGCTGTTCGTTTCTGCTTGCTCCCTTGGTTTTCAACAGATATCGCCTTTTTCTGATATCTGCTCATAAAGCTCGTTGCTTTCTCGCTTTAAGCGTGATATCTTCGTTCCATACTTCCATAGTTCCATGCATGGCAATAAATATTTGTTTTGGATGGTCGATGTTCTTTTTTACTGTCGTTCACATACTCGAACCTAATACAACAGTTTACAGTCGAGTATTTTGATCGATTCTATGCTTCTTGATAAGAACTCTGGAGGAACGGAGACAGGAGGATCTTCTGCGGTTTTAGGTAGCACCGGAATAACGTACATGTCAGACAAGTGGCAAGTTCACCCTTATGGAATCATGCAGCTATTGCAATCTGATGAATAGTACCCACCGGTAGCAGTCTTTCAGAAAAAGTAACAGAAAAGGGTGCAACTTCAATAGTAAGGATGTTTCCTCTGTATCTTTCCTAGAAAAGCCACCCGGAAGACATGAAATGGCCTTTGACTAGACGCTGTCCCGTTGAAACAGAAGCATGATGCTTAAACTGAAGCCATTGAACAGACGTTTTGCACATCTCCAGTAAAGCTGGCGAGTGAAATTGATGGCCATGTAGTAAAATAAAGATGTGGTATTTAATTGACACTGCTTTGTTGTGCCTCTGGGGCTCTGAAAGCACAAAAAGGTGATTTAACTTCACCTGTAGTAGCCAGTAGGACCTTCATCTTCAATGTGTGCGCTAGCACTTCATGGTAGTCATGTTTAGAGTAGTTCTCAATTCGGCAGTAGTCACAATGTGCCTTCTCTTTATGAAATACTGTCATCGGATGTGCTTTAACTCCCCAGTCTAACCTCTCTGTAGTTTGTGGCAAATTAATAAAGAGTTCAGTTGCATCTGAGCTCTCCACATGATAAAATTAATCTCTATTTTCTGTTCTTGGATCGGATCCCCCAAATAGACTTTATGCATACCTTTTTGGCATGCTGCCTGAGGAACTGAATTACCTTTGCTACTTCAATTTGTTTGAGCAAATTTGTTGGTTTATGTCTATTCAGTTGTTTCCCTTTACTTTGCAAGGCTTGATTCCATTTGGCACTTGCTCCAACATCTGATCGATACCATTTACTTTTTGAATCTTGTTACAGTGCCTCACTCCTCATACCATCGGGTAGGGCCATATCTGAACAACCTCTGAACACAATGAGTGTCCTGATGTGTAGCTAAGATGCTGTTTTGGTGATTTTGTGCTTGCATTCTTTTTGTGAAAGTTCATGAGAGATGTTTAAAAAATCTACATAGTTCTGTGACGGTGGATGGTGGTCATGGAAGGGACAGTAATGGGAACAGCTAGTGAGTCAAAACCAGGCAGTGAGCAAAAGCACTCTTTAACAGAGGTGCCTAGAGCTACTGAGACTTCACTAGCACATGATTGTGAAGTAGAAAAATTAATTGGACTTGAAGATGACACAGAATTAACACCTTATGAAGGAATGGAATTTGAGTCTGAAGATGCTGCAAGGGATTTCTACAGCACATATGCAAGAAGTGCAGGTTTTCGAATTCGGATAAGCAGGTATACTCGCTCCAGACGTGGTAATTCAGTTATTTCTCGTCGAATTGTGTGTTCAAAAGAGGGATTTCATGAAACCCGTGCTTGTGATGGCCTCCATTCTGAACAAAAACATCAAGAACGGGCAGGTACTAGAGTTGGTTGCAAGGCAATGATATTAATTAAAAAGTTTGATCCTGGCAAATGGATGGTTACCAAATTCGTAAAGAACCACAATCATGGACCAGTTCCACCAAGAAGACTTGATTCTAGGCCAGCTGATCAGGACTGCGATCAAATCGAGAAGCCACATTCTATTGAGGCGGACCCTGTTGAGGAGCCATTTGAGGGTATGGAATTTGAATCGGAAGAAGCTGCAAAATTTTTCTATGTAAACTATGCAAGGCTAAATGGTTTTCGTGCACGTATTAGTAGATACTGCCGTTCAAGGCGTGATAATTCAATTATTTCTCGCCAGATTGTGTGTTCCAAGGAAGGCTTCCGTGAAGTTCGGACCAAGAAAGTGATGACAGATGAAGGGAAAACAAAGCGCCCGAGAATGATAACTAGAGTTGGTTGCAAAGCTATGATTGTAGTGAAAAAGATGAACTCTGGAAAATGGATGGTTTCTAAATTTGAGAAGGAGCATAACCATTCACTATCACATTCTAAAATGGTCCCTAGTACCTCAAACATTACTTCTAGAGAAGTTGCTGATTTTGCTGCAAAGAGTGCAGCTCCTAATGAAGTAAAAAATGAAGGATTTGGTGCAGGAACACAATGTAATCCTGTAGATTCCCTCACTGTCCTTTATAACAATTTATGTCAGGAGGCCATAAAATTTGCAAAAGAAGGTTCAGTCACAGAAGAAATTTACCATGTGGCAGTTTCTGCCTTGAAGGAGGCTGCAGAAAAGGTTGCTGAAGTCAAAAGGAGTCGTCCAACATTGCCACACTGTGGTTTTATTAGTGAAAGCAAACATGATGTCTTACAGGTGAAAACAACGAGTGCTTTGCGATGTTCAAATCAGGTTGAACTGACAATAACATCTCCCGGGTCCAGGCCTGTTCAAGATTCTGCCTCCAATCTTCTGCTGATACCAACCAACATTTTGACTGATTCAAAATTATATAATGGTGTCGATACTGTTCCTCTATCAAGAGGTTTTCCCAAAAATGGTAAATCTGCTATGGTAATGATCAATTAATCCAAGGCCTTTCCATAGCTATTGTTTTCTTTATGACTGTTGCTTGTTCCATCAACAGGGAGACAAGGTACACATACATCAGAAAGTTCTGTTATGCATTTTGAGACCACAAAGAAGACCTCTTCACAAAAATCTCAGGTAACTTGTTACATGCTTACCTATCTCCTTTCCATGGATGCAGCAGTTTTTAGTATTTCATTTTGAACCAGAAGATGCTTATTTGTTGCTGTGACCGCAGAACACTTGTTCTAATAAACTCATCCATGGAAAGGAGCAAGTTATCCATGGAACTTCCGAAGATTCCATGGTTGCTATTCCTGCGATACCTCTTGCACTGTGCATGCCTGTGACGCAGAACTTACCTGGATCTTCTGCAGGTAGCTCTAATTAACTCAAGCCCCCCCCCCCCACCCAAAAAAAAAAACCTTCAAGCTTCCTGATAGCACCATGTCAATAGCTCAATTCCTTCTGCATTGATGTATATTGCAAAAAAAAAAAACAATTTCCCCCCACTCGAGAAACCTTCCCATTTCCATTACTTATCATAACGGAAATAGAGCGTTTTGGAAGATTAACAGAAAGGGGACAAAAAGTTTGGGCCCTGCACCCAGGTAAGCTAGATGGGTAACCGAAACTCTGGCTCAGAGTTAAGGCACCCAAAGACAGAACCTACCGAAAGTTTCCAGCAGTGACATAAAACCAGCGACACAGGCTTAGGCAAGAATGCCAGATACAAGGCAGAAATCAGAAAGAACAAGCTAACTACAAACGCTAAAAGGACCGTTTTCCATCTCCATGAGGTGACTTTCCAACAAAAGCACATCTACGCTGAAGCATTGTCTTGCTCATCAGGATCTCCGCCTTGAAGTTGCTTTGTAGCTTCCTTGTCTTCCTTCTGGCGCTTCAAAATCCTTGTCGCCACGCGCAGCATCGTGTTGATTCCTTCAATGAGCTGCTCCCTGTCTGGTTCAGCATACAGACCTGCCCAATACTTCATAAGCGCGCATATATGACAGATAATGTCCAAAGGACTCTTAATAATGATTTTATCAAAACAAGCTTTGTTACGGGATTTCTAAATACCCAGCAAATTGCAGAGACTCCCAAAACATGATATGTCAAAAAAAAATGAACATATTACCATGGAAGGTTTAGAATGGTTTGTTATATATACCAGTGGTTATATTCAGCATCTTTTGTGACCAAACGATATATGATCTGTCCCCTTAAGCCACCGAACTTTCCAAATTTTAGTCCAATATAGACCTATGCATGCAGTGGTGCTTGATAGTAGCCCGTTATTTCAGATTTGTGTTGACATTCCCTTTGTGCACATTTTTTTTGAACCATTGACGCATTGACCATCTGGACCACAATTTATTTTTTCAAAAAGATCACAGCAGTTTTATTTGTTTAGCAAGCATAGGATTAAGGTTAATACAAGATGGTCAGTGGAAAATTTAGCACCTTGATGGACACTATTCTGATACCTGTTCATTTTCCTGGACCACAGAGGGGCCATACAGATTGCTGGCTGCACCTATTGAAGCAGTTCCAATCTCTTACTGTCCTGCAGAACCCATAAGACAACCACAAAAGGGTATTTGTGCTTTAGGTCCATTTGGAGGTGTTCTGTCTGAACTGAACAACCAAGGATCAGGTCCCAAATCTCTGGTTCATGCTACTGCTCTTGCTTGTGGTGCTCGTGTTGTTCCTCTTGAGGAGGCAGCTTCGCTTATTAATGCCATTGAATCCAAGATCAGATCTGGAGGGGCCATAATAGCAAAACTGCCTTCAAGCAACCTGACAGCTCCAGTTCCTCCGTCTATCGCTATGTCATCTTCTAGTGAAGACGAGGAGGAGCATGACCACAGTGAGCCCTTAATGGTGGACGTGGATCACAATTTTAATCAGCAGAGCTCCGACGAAATGAAGCTCCAAAGCGAGCCATCAGAGTCGGAAACTGAAGCTGACAACTGACCTGTGTGGTCTGAAGATGAAAACTATGATCATATTGATTGCTAACAGATACGAAGTGAAGGACTGAAGTTGCTCTAAAGATCAAAGCTTCCCTGCAATGTGGCAGATTTATTCTATGATTTAAGACATTTTTGTAAGATTGAATTAGGATTCTAGTCACTTATTTCTGTTGAGTTTATATTGTAACTAGATTAACTCAAGTAAATACCTCCAGTGGAGAATTCTTAGAAAGGAGGAACCGTGCTATGTACATGTCCTACTTATGTGTAAAAGAAAGGCGAGAGTTTAAAATCCAGTTGAGTGTTTAAAACCCAGCTGTACTAAACATTACGTATATAACCTGGGGCACCCGTGTAAGAATAAAACTAGTGCTTATCATATTGGGATTCAGTATTCAGACAGGTCGTTTTCAATCCTCTCATCAACAAAAATATATTAATCCAAGAAAAAAAAGTCAGAAATAGTTGTGCCGTCGTACACTTACATATCTACTATCTTGAAGGCTGTGGATATGAAAACAAAACAGAATTGCTAACTCTCAACCGAGTGATTTTGGTTCATCCCTCAACCGAATTCTGGGTTGTTGGATCTTACACGTGTCGGCATCTGCTCGGACTCCTTTGCTGCTCCTCTGTCACCGCCCCAAGGCCGCTCCTCTCTCGGGCGGGCGCGCGCTCCTTTGTCGCTCCTTTGCCGCCGCCCCAGGCTGCCGCCGTCGCCCCGACGCGGACGTCCCGGCGGGTAGGCCGCCGCCGCTGCCCCGGTGCGGACGTGGGTGGAGCGTCCCCGGCGGGCGTCCCCAGCGCGGGTGTCTCCGGTGTGGGCGCCGCCGTCCTCTGCTTTCTGTCCCTTTTCTACCGCTGGAAGACAAGATGTGCTCTCGGGTGTCTGTTCTTTTTTGCTCTCTCTCCGTTCTTCTATTTGTAAATTTGTATATTTGTGAACAATTTGACGATATTTGTGAATAATTTGGCATATATTTTTCTGGCATCTAGAATCCATAGAAAAAAATTGTATTTTTTTTTTTAAAAATGGCTTATATTTGTCTAAGATCTTAGGTTATCCTCAAATTACACTACTCTGTCCTATATATTACACCGAAGAAATCAGTATAAATATAGTAATAGAAGAGTGTAAATATAGCTAGATGATAGTGTAAGTGCATGGAAAAATTCAGTTAACAGGGAGAACCAAATCAACTGAATGTCACCTAAACAGATCCAAACAAAAAGGTTTGTAGTTGTCAAAGTCAAAACCCCGCAGGCTGTAGAGTCACCTGTTAAACTGACATTATCGCTGACATTGAGCTCTTCAGACCAACAGCCGCCCAGGTATGCTCGTGCCATGGCATCACATTGAAAAGGAAAGCTCACATAGCACCATATTGTCAAAGGTTTATCGTACCAAAATGGTACTGTTGTACGGTTCTCGTTGTTTAGTCAAGTCTGGCCGCCATTTGTTGGCAAATTTTCAATTCGTTCATGATTCAACTGATCTTTAATGGAGTTACACAGCGTCATGTCTCAACTTGTCAATGTGGAACGATGCGTTTAGCAAGACGTGTGCATGCCGTGTAGCTTTGCACTTCCATGTTGTGTTCGAGAAGAGGCATGAGATATTGAGCTTGGGTCAAATCTGGAGCTTCCGTGGCAGAATCAACTGCTATGTGTTGGTGCGATACTGCGAGAAATTGGAGAATCACTGGTCACAACATGATCCCGATCAAGCAGTTTCGTACGTATATTCAAATTCTAAAACCAGAGAGAGTACAGGGGCAAGATGCAAGCACGCGCAAACTGTACTGAACAAGCTGATGGAACAAACCAACCTTATAGGTAACAACACCAGACGCGCCCATGACAATATACCGAGCTAGTCTATACTATGTTGGCTCATCGACCCAACACTTTTTTCGTCATCATCATCTTCACACATCACACGCACACACGCACACCACTGTTTTATTCATGCGGATCCATTGCTGTGGTTCAGAAGTTGGGGCCTGCGGCGAGGATCTCGTCAGTCAGGCTGCTGTCGTCCCCGATCTTGTAGCTGGCGAACACCTCGAAGTTCTTCTTGAAGAGCCCGGCAAGCCTCAGGAGCGTCTCCTTGTACGCCGCCTTGTCCGTCCACTGCACAAAGCATTTGTCAAGTTCGAAATTAGTCAATGTTCTGTTCTAAACAGGCTGTTTAGTTCAAAGATGACTGATTTTTTTTTATGAAACTTCAAAGATGACTGATGAAGCGAGCTGGTTAGTGTCAGAGGAGCATACGGTGTTGATAGGATCGAGGATTTCCGACGGCACGCCCTTGATCTCAGTGGGGATCTCCAGGCCAAAGACGTCGGATTTCTGGTAGTTAGCGGTGAGAAGCTCGCCGGAGTGGATGGCGTCGATGATCTTTCTGGTGTAGGGAAGCCTGATCCTCTTGCCCACACCGTACCTGACAAGCGACGGTCCACAGTGAACCTACGGCTACGGTTTCCATAACGAACGAACACAAGCTTTGCAACTGCAGGACGGAAGCAAAGCATGACGTCGTCGTACGTACCTGCCACCAGACCAGCCGGTGTTGACGAGCCACCCGGTGGCGCCGTACTTCTGCATCTTCTCGGCGAGCATGGCGGCGTACTTGGTCGGGTGGAGCATGATGAAGGCCGCGCCGAAGCAGGCGGAGAAGGTGGCCTGTGGCTCCTTGATGCCGTCCTCCGTGCCGGCGACCAGGGCAGTGTAGCCACTGATGAAGTGGTACATGGTCTGCGCCAGGTTCAGCTTGCTCACTGGCGGGAGCACGCCGAAGGCATCGCACGCCAGGAGGATAACGTTCTTGGGGTGCGGCCCGACGCATGGTATCTTGGCGTTGGGGATGTACTCGATCGGGTAAGCAGCCCGAGTGTTCTCTGCAATGCAAGAACAGCAGCGCCATGAGAATTGAGAACGCAGATGCATTGTGATGCTTGTGACTGAGGCAGTGTTTAGATCTCTTCCAGTTTGGAAAATGGACACTGTAGCACTTTCGTTTGTATTTGGCAAAAATTATCTAATTATGGACTATTTAGGTTTAAAAGATTCGTCTCGCCAATTACGGGCAGACTGTGCAATTAGTTATTCTTTTTACCTACATTTAATGCTCCATACATGTGCCGCAATATTCGATGTGACGGGGAATCTTAGAAAATTTTGGATTTTGGGTGGGATCTAAACAGGGCCTGAAAAACAATTGAGCCCGTGTACTAGGGACATGGCATTTACCGGTGACAGATTTGTCGGCGTAGTCAACTTCACGAGTATGCTCATCAAAGACCACGTTCTCCAGCACTGCAGCAGAGTACACATTCCGTTACCCAATTCAGCTTCAGCCGGCGCAACGACAGAGCATGGTTAGGTTTGAAATGCCACTTGACGAAGAAACCGAAAGTTGAGACAAGTACCAGTTCCAAACTTGATGGCATTCCAAATATCAGGTTCTTTCTCCTGGGAGAGGTCTATGCACTTGGCATAGCAGCCGCCCTCAATGTTGGACACGCCATTGTCGCTCCAGCAGTGCTCGTCGTCGCCGATCAGAAGCCTATTGTGATCCGTCGATAGCGTCGTCTTCCCGGTACCTGTTGTACGTGAGAAATCCAGAGTTCCAAAATCAGCAGATAGATATACATGGCAACCCATTCAGAACACATATAGCAAGTTGGTCAGTGACGCTGACATCACATAACATCAAATCTGAGGCATCTACTGCTATGTGGAGTATGTCACAGATAAGATAAGACAGGAAGAAGGATAAGCTAAGCCGAGGACGTCAGATGCGACATGGGCAGGTGACGGCACCACAATCCTCTTGGAATCCATCCAGGACATGTTACCTGAGAGCCCAAAGAAGAGGGCGACGTCACCGTCCTTGCCCATATTGCAGCCGGAGTGCAGCGAGAGGATGCCTCGCTTGGGCATGAGGTAGTGCATGACGCCGAAGAGCCCCTTCTTCATCTCGCCGGCGTACTGCGTGCCCAGGATCACCATCTCCCTCCTAGCGAGGTTGATGTCTACGCTCGTGGACGACGTCATGTAGTGCGTGTAACGGTTACAGGGGAACTGGCCGGCGTTGTAAATGGTGAAGTCCGGCGTGCCGAAGCTCTCCAGCTCCTCGTCCGTGGGCCGGATGCACCTGCGACCCCCATGCCCATCCAGTTATTTACTTACTTCTACAGCTTGCTTTCTTCGCTAGGGACTCGCTCCCCAGGCCAATTGTGTTACTTGGAAGGCAACAGGATTTGATTATTACATACAACAAGACATATTTATTTATATATATGTAAGTTTCATGGGTCGTCGTCGAGATGAACTTATCTGGGCGTTGGAGGTGTGTGTCACGAGCAACGACCTACTGCAACAAAACTATAGATAGTATTGACAGAGTGGCAGCGTGTCGGCAGGTTGGCTTACATGTTGTGCATGAAGAGGGAGTGGTACGCCCTGGCGGAGATGATGCGGACCTTGATGCGGTTCTCGGGGTCCCAGTTGAGGAACTGGTCGTTCACGAACACCTTGTCCAGGGAGTTGAGGTAGTCCACGGCCCTCTCCCTGTTGGTCAGGAACGTGTGCTCGTCCATCTCGATGTTGGGCGAGCCCCTGCGATGCGATCATCAGGGTGTCAGCAGCGAACCAGAGGCTAGCAAAAGGAAGGGTGTGCGGCGGCGGAGCAGAGAGAGCACTCACTTGCCCCACCACAGCTCCTGCGCAGCGGCCTCGTCCTTGACGACGCGCTTGTCCCTGGGCGACCGCCCGGTCTTGGCGCCCGACAGCGTCGCCAGTGCGCCGGTGGACGTGATGAACGACCCCTTCTCGTACTTGATCGCCTGCTCGTACAGCTCTGTTTTTTGTTTTGTTTTTTAATAAGTTTTTGATTGACAAACACAGGGGTAAAGCATCATCCATCAACAGCTAGTCTCTCGCATGGCAACGCAACGTGCCTCTCTGAAGAAGAAGAAGAAGAAGAAGTTGTGCACACATGCATGCGATGCGATGCGATGCTTACCGGCAGGCGAGAGGTTGTAGAGGACATGGGTGAACTTGAGGGAGCTGTCGCTGACGGCGATGGTGGGTGCGGCGGGGTGGTGGTGCTGGTGGTGCGCCTGCGGCGTCGGCGGCGCGCCCTTCGCGGCGGCCTCGCCCTTCCTGGCCGGGTCGCCCTTCACCACTTTCGGCCCGGTTTCACGTGTCAGAGACGCCAACGACGCACTGCATCCATCACCAAATCGGGGAAAAAATTGTTAATGCTCAAGTATACTTGCTACTAGCAGCCCGGCATGTTAATTACGCTCCCGATTATCAGCACCAAACCACAAAGCGATGCGCGAGACGTCAAATTATTTTGTTTTTTTCCTCTCCAAAAAGGGAAGGGAAATAATCTCCTCTCGCAGTCTCACCTTTCATGTTCCTGGGTTGGCCATTGTCGTTAAGCTCCTTTTAGTAACGAACGAACCAAAACCCATCCAATGAATAAATCGTTTTCACCAATTCGTTTATAGCTAGTAGCTGCAGAACAATACGGCTAAGGGGGGAAAAAAAGCGAGAAGAAAGGCTGGCGCGGGTCGTCACCTGATGGACTGCAGCTGCTGCCTGTGGCGCTCCTCCTCGGAGAGCGCGGCGGCGAAGGGCGAGGCGGCGCCGTCCTTGATGGGCGTGGTGGGCGCCGACCGCTTCCGCTGCAGCGAGTGCAGCTCGTCGATGGTCTGCGCGCGCACCGGCGCCGAGCTGTCGTCGTGGCACACGCCGTTGTCGTGCTGCTTCTTCCCGTTCGTCTCGATCCGCGCAAGCCCGTTCGGCGTCGCCATCTTTCTCGCTCGAGGTCGTGCGTGAACCCGCCTGCAAATTAAAGAGAGAAACAGCAGCGAGCGCGCATTAGCGACATGGCGACGAAACCCTGCCATTGATGCTCTCTGCTCCCGGAGAGCATCATCATGGCGTTTGCTGCGTGCAAAGATTAAACAAGGGAGTTAAGAGACACAATCACACGAGGAGGAGAGATGGGCACGTACGGGACGAACGACGTACGTGCGCGGGGTCGGAGGAGGTGTATGTATCGAAAGGAAACGAGTGAAGCGGTGTGGGGCGGATGGGACGAGCCGGGCTCGGCTTTTAAAGGGGCCGGGAGTTAACCATGGTTACGTTCTCTACCCGACCATTCAACGCCGGCGGTGGTCCGGTTGCGGGTTAGGTTTGTGTTTTTGCACTCTGGAGCTTATCTTTTTTGAAATCCCCCCCTTTTTTTGATAACATTTTTTATAACAAAATTCCCCCCCTTTCGTTCTCCTTCTCTGTGCAGGACCTTACATTTTTGTTTCTGTTTATTATCAGTTAATACCATCGGCGGCTTAACATAATATTTGCATTATTGCAGTACTTGTTCGAAGTATCAACTACAATAATGTTGGTTATTCACCACTTCGTCCCCTCACAAAGAAATTAAAGTTATTCTTGTATGCTTGATAATAAATTGCTAACTGGAGGCTACCCAAATCGGTGCGATTGCGACAGCTGTGTCTTTCGAAGTTTTTTCAGGGAGAGAAAGTAGTGAAGAAGACCACTGAGCACTGGCTTTTCTAAAGCAAAAACTTATTCGCTCCATTGATTTGTCCACTCGCTGTGAATTGTACCCTGCTCACGTGTTATTACGTAGAAAAGTGAATTGCAAGTAGAAATAGGGTAGATTGATCAGGTTGCGAGGGGTCCGACTATTTGGTCATTTTGGTGACGTGGTCCTTTGGAAAGAACGAAAACTGTGGATATTCGATGGTTCGTCGAAAATTACCATCAAATTAGTTTTCAAATCAAGGAGTAACCTTGTTGATGTGTATAAGAGGGTACCATGGGTTGAGGTCGCTTTTTGTTGGTTTCATTATGTAATGTTGCTCTTGGCGTAATGTTGCTCTTGTGTAATAGATCTTTCCAAACTTGGTGCCGTTCAAGCCCTTTTCTAGCTTTGATGTAGATGTAGGTATGGTTGCATTTTCTTCTTCTCTTAATGAAATACTTACTCAGACATGTTTGTGAGAAAAGTGGATTGATGCCAAAAGCCTTGATAAAAGTTATTGGAATGGAAACTCAACATATACGGGGTCGTTTGGAAGACTGAATCGGTTCCAATTCTACCGAGAAATGTTAAAATCTGTGCCAAACACAAAAATTGCGAAACGTTTTAGGACCGAAAGGATTCACGTTTCTTCTTTGGAACTTTAAACTCTGGAAGATTGGTTTCGCATGGATTCTACTTTTGCTACTCTATATTAACAATTATAGTTTTTTCAATTATATTTTTTTGTGTAACAAGTTAAAATGGGTTGTATTGAAGTTGTTCTTCACTCACAATAAAGTTCAGAATTTTTTTGAAGCATATTTCATTTAAATACTCTTTCAGGAATCCGAATCTGGCTTAACTTCCAAGTAATTTTATAAAATGATTCTGATTCTTCACCCCGAACATTTCCGGAGAGAATATGGATCCACAATATTTTTTATGGGATCTGGATCACTACCAAAATAAAGATTTCCCCTATCTGTCCTCGGTTAATGCCTCTTGAGTTGATAAGCTTGATGTGTGTTTACAGCGTTAGCTAGTATCTTTTCAAAAATAACAGGTGTGCTACATAATTCATGGAAATAATAGTGTTTTTGTTATAAAAAAAAGCAATGCCATTAGCATTACCATCACTGTAGCTCGTTTGACCTTGAGCATTATCATGACAGATAATGCGACCATACCGGGTCGGCGCAGGTCGGCGTTCATCTTAATTAGTCCTAGCTAGTTCTCCAACACCTGGATGGATAACCCAGAAAAACAAGGCATACACAGTTGAGCAGCTCAGCATGCCATTTTTTAAAAAGATATATATGTTACCAGCTGGAGCAGTGTCAACGTTTGATCGAGTCCCAGCTAACATGCATGAGCCGTGTCCGTGTGTTGCATATTTGCAGTTGCGTATGTGTGCATGAGATGGATGGATAGGGACGACAACGTATCGCCCCTTCGCAAATTTAAACTTCCCTTTTCATTTTCTGCAGTTGATCTGTCATCAGCTGGAGTACTATGCAGTACTACTCCATGGTACAAGTGTACAACGAGCAGTATAAAAGCGATGAACTTGCTGTGCATAATCAAGTCAACCAACTTTGGATAGTATATTTAATTTAATTAACTCGACAGGTGTTTGTCAATCAGCCTAGCTCTCGTTTCTTCCCTTTTCATTTATTATGATCTATCGTTTTCATCGATCAATTGCACAGCTAATGGCCGATAAAATTTTAGTTTATTGACGAATTTGAGATGAATGAACAAGGATGCTACCGGGAAAGCAGGGGCTCAACTATGGTGTTCACGGGAAAGAGGTAAACTGGTTGATTGGCTCCAAGCCTCCATTAATCCAGCTCAATCCGGTGTAATGACAATTGACAATGCATTGTTGGGTCTGATCTTTCTTAATATCTCTGTATGTTTGGATGCAGAAGCGAAACGGAAGTATGTAAACTATTTTGACTTTTCGACAAGCAGACTCTTCTCAAGTAGCAACTTTTTTTTTGAACATTTTGATCAATCATAACTCTTCGTATAGCCTGAAGGATCATTTCTTTGTGATTAATTATAACTGCGACGTCACCTACGCATAACTTGCGGCTCGAGCAGTATGGCATGCTATCGCACAAGTTGTTGTGTACACACAAGGGCCCAGGGCTGGCGTGACAGCCTTTATTAAAAAAGAACAAGAGCAACTGGAGGGTGATGCTCCAACTGAAAAATATGGGAATGATTTGATTGTATTCCATCTCAAGTGAACGTCATACATATATAGACCGGGGTGACATCCATACCAACCACACGGGCGTACATCAAGGAGACTACTATAATTACACATACTATAATTACAATAGTCTAACACTCCCCCGCAATCTAATCGGGAGCATCGCTAACGGTAAGGCTGGACCGAAACTCCTGGAACAATGAGGTGGGAAGGCCCTTGGTGAAGACGTCGGCATACTGCGATGTCGTAGGAACATGAAGTACTCGAACATGACCGAGGGCGACCTTCTCTCGAACAAAATGGAGATCGATCTCAACATGCTTCGTCCGTCCGATGTTTGCATTTGGATTGCCGGAGAGATATACTGGCACAGCGACGTTGTCACAATATACCAGGGTGGCACGGCGAGGTGGGTGGCGAAGCTCAAGGAGTAATCGACGTAACCAAGTAGCCTCGGCAACACCGTTCGCCACAAAGACGGTATTCAGCCCTCTCGCCGGGACCGGGATACCGTGTGCTGGCGCTTGGAAGACCATGACACCAGGTTGTCTCCGAGGAACACTGCATAGCCAGAGGTCGACCGTCGAGTATCGGGACATCCATCGGCATCCGTGTAGACAACAAGCTCCGTAGGGGAAGACCCGCGCATGGTCACCCAAGTGACATAGTGCCACAGTAGGGTACCGCAAGATGCGCTTGAGAGCTGCAAGGTGTGGCTCTCGAGGATCATGCATATAGAGACAAATCTGCTGAACAACGAAGGCAATGTCTGGACGGGTGAAAGTCAGATACTGTAGAGCACCTGTCAGGCTGTGGTACTGAGTAGCGTCACCAACAGGAGGTCCATCTGCAGATAATTTGGAGTGGAGATCAACAGGCGTCTTTGCATGGTTTGCACGCACTCATCCCGGCGTGCTCCAAAATATCCCGAGTGTACTTTGCCGTTGGAGAGAAGCAGACCATCTGCGGGCGTGTCACGTAAATACCCAAAAAGTGATTTAGCTGACCCATGTCCGTCATAGCAAACTCATGTCAAGAGCCCCAATAATATGGCGAAGGAACTTCGGCAGACGAGGCAGCGATGAGGACGATATCATCCACATAAAGCAACAAATAGGCGATGTAATCGACCCTCGGCGATAAATAAATAGCGAACTGTCCGACTTGGTTTCAACAAATCCAATGGAAGAGAGATATGAAGCGAACCTGTGATGCCAAGCACGAGGAGCCTCGCTTGATCCATACAGAGACTTGTTGAGACGACAAACCATGTCCGGACGGGAGGAATCAACAAAACCAGAGGGTCAAACGCAGACACCGCTCTCGGTGAGAGTCCCATGTAAGAATGCATTCTTCACATCTAACCGATGGATGGGCCGCCCGAGAGAGAGCCAGAGAGAAATAACCCGAATGTCGCTGGCTTGACGACCGGACTGAAAGTCTCATCATAATCCAGACCAGGGCGCTGGGTGAAACCTCGAAGGACCCAGCGTGCCTTGTAGCGATCAAGAGACCCATCTGCGTGCAGTTTGTGCCGAAAAATCCACTTGCCAGTAACAAGATTGACGCCGGGAGGGCGTGGTACCAGGCTCCAGGTATCATTGGCGATCAGCGCATCAAACTCAGCTTGCATAGCGGAGAGCCAATTAGGATCGGACAGGGCATCACGAACGGAACGGGGCAGAGGCGACATGGGCACAGCGTGGAGGTTGAGCCGATCCACGGGCTGTGCTATGCCGGCCTTGCCGCGGGTGCGCATGGAGTGCGCGTTGTCGACGGGGGTGATGGAGATCGGCCTGGTGGCGAGCGTCCGTCCGGTGGCCGCGGCGCTACTGGCAGCAGCCTGTGTACGAGACACAGGGGCAGCAGCGCCGGCCTGGGACGTGGTTGGCGAGGTGGCGCTGCCACCAGCAGCACCGGTGGTCGTCGCGGGAGAGCTGGGCGCCCCTGGCCTAGCGCTGGGTGCACTGGCGGAGGAGGGGCAGGGCGCCCCTTGTCTAGCACGCTGCGCTGGAGACCGCGGCCCGGCGCTCAACGAC